AATCGTTGAATTTGTTTTTGAATGAAATCGACATGACATAAACGCGGACCGCAATGAGGACCCCAAATTGAACTGTGATTTAAACAGAAATTTGACATAACCGTTCGCTCGCAACAGATGCAGGACACTAGGAGCCTATAAACGTCTAGTATACGTTTATCGCTTTGTGTTATCTGTACACCTGTATTAGTATAGTAGAAAGGTCGATTACAGGATAAATTATAACTATCCATGTCTGTTTTTTTTTTTACTTTTTGTATATATGTGTTTAATTATGTTAGAAATCGAACATTAGAATTTCAGTCAAATCGGTGAACATGAATTTGACAGCTAATGTCTCTTACAACCAGACGATTAATTCGATATTTTAGGATATTTTTGTCACCAGAACCTTTTGATTTGGTACAAGAAATTGATTTCAAAAAAATGGAAAAGGTTTATAAGAAATGAGGACTAAAAGCTAATTTTTTTATGTAAGTTTGGATATTTGTTTCTATTTTGTATGTAACAAAATGCATTCTTTTGTCAGTTCTATGACTCGGTCAAATAAAAGAACCAAACTATAACCCTAAAGTAAACAGATAGATTTCCCTCATTGAACACGACTAACACATTGTCACAGTAAAGACAATTTATAATGTGCATGTTGATTATTTAAATTTTGTGACAATGAACACGCATTAATTGAAGCTGTTCTAAACTGACTATTCTTATAAATACAATGTACATGCGATTATTTAAATTATGTTACAATAAACCAGACAATAACTGCAGCTGTTCTATGTGCATGTTCATTTTGTCAAAGTTTGAGACAATACAACAAACATTAATTGCAACGGTACTAAACTAAATATTTTTTCCAATACAAAAGTTTAAAAAAGTGATCTTAAACTTACTTTTAGCCATATCAGCGGGAATGTAAACGTTATCAATCCGGTTAGTATTACATGTACTAAGTACATGACATAAGATTAGATTCAATGTCGTCTATTTCACACAATTGTGAGCATGATGTCTGGCTTACTAAAACACATTAAAGCTGCAATACTTATTATATAGTCCACTAGACAAGTGACACGTGGATTGACATTTGTTATGTACTTAGAATGAATTGTCAATTATATAAAAATATAACTAAAGTATATATATATATCATCTTTTCCGCAAGTTTGTCGTTTTTAGTTTGGTAATAAATTAATTATAAGATCCATTTTGTTTCATCTTCTGGTCCTCGTATTTGGCAATCGCAAATGGCAGTCAGCAGGGTTTAAGAACATCAGTTTTTCGGCCTGCTAGTCAAATGCGTTTTGTTAAAATATACTTTTTCACTTTTTTGGTCTTTTGGAAAATTTTGTTTGTGCTGTATTTAGACCCCTCTTCCAAGAAATTTGTTTTGCATGCACACGTAAAAAAATTGCGGTTTTTATCCAACGCAATCATAGGTTTGAACGTTGTTGTCAATTTAGACTTGCTTATATTTTTTCGTTTGGGCTTGTATTATATTTGCCTTCGGGTTTATATGATCCGTTCATCCTATTTCGACTCTTTCAAAATTCAAGAGTATATCCTAAATTGAGGTAAATTATATGGCCTTCCAAATACCGTTTCGATTCCTAACATCACTGTCGAAATCCGGATATGGTGTACAAATTTTTGCACCTCATGTTTGCGGTATATCATCTTTTCCGCAAGTTTGTTGTTTTCAGTTTGGTAATTAATTAATTATAAGATCCATTTTGTTACATCTTGTGATCTGTTTATTTGGCAATCGCCAATGGCAGTCAGCAGGGTTTAAGAACATCAGTTGTTCGACCTGCTAGTCAAATGCGTTTTGTTAAAATAAACTTTTTCTCTTTTTGGGGTTTTGGAAAATGTTGTTTGTGCTGTATTTAGACCCCTCTACCAAGAAATTTGTTTTGCATGCACACGTATAAAACTTGCGGTTTTTATCCAACGCAATCATAGGTTTGAACGTTGTTTTCAATTTAGACTTACTTATATATATATATACATACAGTGAAACCTATATTAAGAGACCATTTAAGGGAGAGCAAAAAAGTTGTCTCATAAGACAAGTAGTCTTTTATACAGGTTCAATTTATATGAAAATTATTAGAGAGGAACTTAATAGTAAGTGTCTTATAACACAGGTTTTTGCTTAATACAGGTGGCCAATTGGACTCTCAGAATCTAATGCATTCTGGGTAATATTTACAAAAGTATACACCAAAACATCGTGATTGGTTCCCTCGGTTTTAGTTTGTAACCCGGATTTGTTTTATCTCAATCGATTTATGACTTTAGAACACCGGTATACTACTGTAGCCATTTGTTTATAACGTCCCTAACAACGGAAAGTTTATCAATGACGTGAAGTTATTTTAATTTTTGGGTACGAACAATTAAATTACCCAAAATGCTTTAGATTCTGAAACGGCCAATTAAGCAAGTTTGACTATGTATCTTTAAATAGTTGAATTGTCACCTGTTGTGACTTCTGTGTAATAAATATCATTTTCAATTACCAGTATAATTGAATTGAAAAGTACGATTGAATTATTCATTGATTGTTTTTTTTTTTGCTTAACATTCAGCGGCAAATATTGTCTGTATATTCATGACGAAAATAAACACACAATAAATCTTATAGGTAATGTTGAGCATATCAATCACTGCAAACAGGAAGCATTTAAATAAGCGTTTAAATTAGATAGACATTGCCTATCAACAGCACAAGGGATGTGATAGGGTCGTCCCATTATTTTTACAGAAACTTGAATATATTTTTATTCCCCATTTAATGCATTCCATATTCTAAGGAAGGTATTGAGACACGTCTCAAATTTAATATATAAATGTATTGAAATATTTAACAGTTTTTGAAAATTTTCAATGTATTTACAATATACATCTTGGATACATAGACCCAACATCCCATGTTCTATTTCTTCTTATGCAGAATTCAAATGTTATTATGTTTTTAGAAAAAAACACGACTTTCCTTAACGGACATACAATTTATTGGATTGAGTATCCTTGATAATGTAAAATATATAAGTAAAGAAAGATATGAAGTAAAACCCAAATAAGGTCACAATAAAAACATGTAAACCTCCCTCCCCCAACAAAAAAAAAAAACAAAACAAAAACAAAAAACGATATATGGTTCTCAATTGTAGTCAAATGTATATATAACAATGTCCAACAGAGTTAACGCACTTGTCCTCGCACTGAATAATTCAAAGTTTGGTGACTATGTGGAACGCATATATCCAGTTGAAATTGCAATAAAGGATACAATAGATACAGTTGAGTCTGCCTCATATCTAGACATTGAAATAATGGTCGGTTGAGAACATCACTTTTCTACAAAAGAAATGATTTCAGCTTCCCAATTGTGAACTTTTCCTTTCTGTGCAATAACATTTCAGGTGCGACTGCATTTGTAGTATATATCCTTGTTGATACGATATTCCAGAGCTTGGCATTCTTATTGAGAATGCCTTGATAGAGGTTTACTGCTCAGAAGGAAACTATAAAACCAAGAGTTCCAAGAGGCGAAGTCGAAATCACCCCTCAAAAATTTTACGGACGCCATCACGAGTTTGATATCTGTTTGAGAGATACCGGCATACTAGCATATTTTCCTATTGTCGTAACCACAATTCTTTCCTCTGTTACTCAAACGAACCCTACCTTCATTAGTCATTACGCTGCAAATCTTAATTTACAATGAACTGCAAAAGTGTCTTATCTGCATCTGATGTTACCTGATTGGATTCATCCGATGTCACCTGATTGGATGAATCAGATGTCACCTGATTGGATGCATCCGATGTCACCTGATTGGATGCATCCGAAGTCACCTGATTGGATGCATCCGATGTCATCTGATTGGATTCATCCGATTTGATGGTTTCATGCCCGATATAGCTAATTTGTCTAGCTAAATATTGCGTTCATTTTTTTTTTATCGCATTGCAAATATGAGTTAATCAAATCACAAGTCCATCATAGGTTGCCCACACTACTCTAAAATTAGTGTAAGGGAGAGATAGGATAAAAACAACCCACATAATTTCTTAATATACTATATAAGCCACCTTTATACATTAAATGCTTACTTTTCTTTTAGAAGAACATGATTTTACAATATGATTTCGATTGTGCTACATAATGACTTTTTATTTAGTATTTGCAAACCACCCATGTGAACGATAAAGGCTATTTGATCCTGCATTTTTATCAAGGACTACAAAATCATAAAAAAATTCATGACGTTTTGTATATGACAAGCTCACGATTGCCCCTGAGTGTAAAGTATTCATAACGGTCAGTTCCTACCTGCTCAAAACGCCTTAACAGTTCAAATGATATAGTAGTATAACAAACGATATAGTAGCATTTATGAAATGAACATGTGTAGCGCTGTAGTTGTATTGACATATTATTATGATCACCGGCTTTGAATTGTACAGATGCATGTCAGTCACTGCTAGTAGTCTGTTGTTATTTATGTATTATTGTCATTTTGTTTATTTTCTTTTGTTTCCTATTCTGACATCGGACTCGGACTTCTCTTCAACTGAGTTTTACTGTGCGTACTGTTGTGCGTTTGTTTTTTCTGCATTGGCTAGAGGTATAGGGGGAGGGTTGAGATCTCAAAAAACATGTTTAACCCCGCCGCATTTTTGCGCCTGTCCCAAGTCAGGAGCCTCTGGCCTTTGTTAGTCTTGTATCATTTTTAATTTTATTTTTTTGTGTATAATTTGGAGTTTAGTATGACGTCAATTATCACTGAACTAGTATACATATTTGTTTAGGGGCCAGCTGAAGGACGCCTCCGGGTGCGGTAGTTTCTCGTTGCATTGATGACCCATTGGTGGCCTTCGGCTGTTGTCTGCTCTATGGTCGGGTTGTTGTCTCTTTGACACATTCCCCATTTCCATTCTCAATTTTTTATGATAATAAGAGAAAAAATTCGAACTAATTTACATAGGTAATTACATATCAGTTCATTTATTTTCAAACAACCAATTAAAGTGTTAGTGTCCTTGTAAGTGGAAATCTTTATGATCATCACCCAATGAATTTGCAGCTATACATCTGTAATCTCCGTCATCATAAGGTAAAAATTTCCGTATTGTAAGAACATGTGTATGCGGATCTACTAGTATATTTGTGCCTAATGAGCCACCCTGAAAATATATAATATAAATTCATTACATGTTTAAATAGTAATCACGAGAGTTTGATACTATAAATTTAGACATTTACTTGATTAATAAGTCTCATGGGGCTAAAAATGCAATCAAATGTCATCATTATCATGAAATTAACCGTTTTACAATATCAAGGACTAAGCGTAATTTTATTGTTCGCACCCAAAAATGAAAAAAAGTCACGCCATTAGTAGAAACTGTAAATGCCACGATAATTTTTATTTGGAGCTATTTTGATGTCTCTAGTATCCTTAATCTATATGTTTAGTTCATTCATTTGTAAAGAACTCATTAAAACTTTCACTGTGCACTTAGCAGGAAAAATTGCTTATCTATGTAATTTTAACAGCGAAAAAGATGGCAATATGTTCAAGGACAAATACCCTGGCTTGTTAACGCTACAGTACGATGAACACGTTAAAATAGTACAATAAACATGTAGCACTAGTACAATGTACATGTAACACTAGTACAATGTACATGTTACACTAGTATAATGTACATGTAACACTAGTACAATTTACATGTAACACTAGTACAATGTACATGTAACACTAGTATAATGTACAGGTTACACTATCACAATGTGCATGTATAACACTAGTACAATGTACATGTAACACTTGTACAATGTACATGTAACAGTAGTACAATGTAGGTGTAACACTAGTATAATATACAGGTAACACTAACAGAATGTACATGTAACACTAGTACAATGTACATGTTAAAATAGCAGAAGTACATATTGCACTAGTATAATGTACATGTAACACTAGTACAATGTACATGTAACAATAGTATAATGTACATGTAACACTAGTACAATGTACATGTAACAATAGTATAATGTACATGTAACACTAGTACTTACTAACTAAGACTACAAAAAGTTTTGAAAATGAGCATGATCCACATGTGCTTAAAAACAATTACACGAATAGTACAGCAGCATGACAACAATAACAAATCAAAACCATGTAGGTCCAAAGATCATTCGAAACTCAACGGAAGTACCAATGAGAACATGCAACCAGGTTTATATGAGTGAATTCATACATGTCATCTGACAAAAAGTATCAACCTAAACAATTGGGCCATCAATATTTAATGGTCTGACCCAAACTGTTCCCTCAAAATAACAATAACATCACGTCATGTTTGAATTTCCACTATTAAGAACGTTATCAGTACATTCATAGATGAATGTTTAATACGCCAGACGAGCGATTAGTCTACAAAAGACTCATCAGTGACGCTCGAATAAAAAAGTCAATTGGCTAAATAAATTACGAAGTTATAAAAGAAAAAAGGGACCCAAAGGTCCAAAAGGGTTTTGCCAATTACCTCTACGATTATCGATGCCTAGGGTAAAAAGTCCTTAGTATTTCGGAAAATTTAAAGTTTTGTTGACATTTATAATTATGACCATATCAATGATTTATGTTAATCGTAACATATTTTGTGTGCTTCTATAAATAAAACCGAGTTGTCTTACGATTCTGAAATGGAAATGATTATTTATCATTCCAATATTCTACCAATCATTACACAAACATTTCATTTTAATACAATAATAAATTTGCCGTGTTCTGAAAATACTTCTACAATATTTAGAGAGAACCACCGACCTTCGGTAGGAAAACTCACAATTCTATTCAATCAAGATTGAAGCCGAGTGCACCTACCCCGTGCTTGATTCGAACTCACAACCTCAGTGTTGACAGGCTAGTGATATAGTAGTTAGACTACTTAGAATACTCGGTCACCGAGGCACCCTACAATATTTTGAAGAAAAAAATATAATATAATGTATATATGGTTTCCGTTTCTTCTATGCGTATATCTAATATGTAAAATTGAGATGAAAGCCAAAACGTGTTTACCCGTGTTAGGAAATCTATTGTCGGACTAGGATTTCCGGTGGCAACGCATTGGATCGTCACTGTATCGCCATATCTTATATTTGTTGGATTGATAACAACTTGATGTACAATTGGAGCTGTCTCTAAAAAAGAAAGAAAACCATATAAAAATGACAATAATATTAACAATTAAAATTATTTCTCTAATTACTATCCGATTCATACACTTCCCTAACAGTTGATTGCTTTTTCATAATCAATGACGCAAGCTATGATTACTTTCCTGTGATTTTTTTATTGGGATGTCATCAAAAAGGCGATCATATTTTAGATTGCTTGACACCAGGAACAGCAATACGTTTCTAGATAATTGAAAAAACAGATAAAGTTTGCCTAGATATTGTCAAACCATCATTCGAAAAAAAAACATCCTTAGGTGGACAACTTACAATATGCTATATTTTATGACATATAGTATTCAAAGACGTATTAATGATGTTCGCTCCTCTGTCTCAAAATAACAAGCTTTAAAAAAGACTACGATAAGTTGATAGTTTAATGATTAAGGTGTACCGTACAATCTCGTGTATACATGCTTTGTCTGTAAATACTCCAGTTCAGAAAGTAATATCATTTTAATTATTTTGAAACTTTAAATATGTTGTGTATCTGTAGAGTCTTTTTATGTTGATGTAATTCTAATATGGAGTGTTATTGATACATGTGTAAGCAATATGCCTTAAAAGCTAGTTTAATTGACGGCCTTTTGTATTATTTAATCTTTATTTAATGCCAACTCTCTACCAGCTATTCCATCATCGCTGACGCCACATTTAGCAGTACACAATCAACAAATGATTAAATCAATGAATTTAAAATGACCTATTTTATAACATCATGAACATATATTATAAAAAGACCTATTAAACGTGTTAATTGGACAACTTACGAGGAATAAGCGTTGTTGGTACAATTGTCGTTGTAGTTGGAGGAGCTATTGTTGATTGAATGGTACAGTTACGGTTACATAATTCCGAGTCACAACAAATTGAACAGGTTCCCTGTGGATTACTTCGCGCACAATGCTGAATAATCAATTGTTGACGTAGAGCGTGATAAGTTGCATTTTATTGGCTTACTGTTATAAGCAATTTACATTATTTATAAACAATTTACATTATTTATAAACAATTTACATTATTAATAAACAATATTCCACAATAATTATCATTGTTGCGGTTCTTGGTGAAAATCAGAGTACAGAGGAGTCAATTGACGCCTTGGTCTTAGTGTATGTTTAAGGAATGTAGAGCATTTATAAAGATTTTGTATCAACAGTGATGATCAAAAAGTACACAAAAAAGTGTTGCTCTGTTGATATAATTATAATTGATTGATTGATTGATGTTTGCTAAACGTCAATTGACAATTGTTTCTTACATTTTTTTTACTTATTTTTGTACATAGTGTATTGTATTAATTTTGAACAATAATTATTTCAGTCGATTTTGAAAATCAAATTTCAAATGAATGTTGAATTATATTTATTTCATGAAACGCAGGAGAATTTCAACTGTTTGAAGGAAATTCAAATAACTCGAATGCATTTTAAATATTTGTATATATAAACATAGACGTCTAACAAAAGAAAATAATATTTTCATGCTCTTAAAAGGAAGAGAAAACTAGAACTACTATTATAACTGGTCACGTTAACAAACCATGACTAGATTGGCTTTGTTTTGTAAACAAATAAATGCATTCCAAGTTATGTACATATATCTACACACATTAACGTGTTTTATGTACGCGTAGTGATTTTGTGTCATGAATTGATACACCGCTACCATATCTGTCCTTTTTTCAATAGTTGCCTTGAAATCTTACTATATGCAACATACCGATTTCTCTGAACAACCATGTGTCCAACGAGGTTCACCAAGCAGATTTCGTGTTTGTTTTATAGAGCATGCCTGTGATATTACAAAAGGCAAATTATTAAGTTTAGACTAAGAACAAGGGGTATGATTACTTAAACATACTCATAATTCTACATACCTAAATATTTGTTTAAGCCTTTTGTGCGCTCTTATTTTTATATTTTAAGATTTCTTTCATCTCTTAGATTAATGTTGTACTTGTTTTACAATTTTGAAAAAGAAGTCTAATGGGTGTTTTGTTTTGCATCTGACTATTTATCTGTACGTCTGTCGTTCATGCATACATTGCATATACGTGGATTATAAGAGATGACGTACTTCTTGAAAATTTGGTGTATACTTATGACTTTCATAGATGCGGTGTACACCTGTGACTTCAAAAGAGGCTGTGTATAACTATTACCATAATGAATGAATTATAACACAAGAAAACAACTTTCCACCAGAGACAAAATTAGTGTATACCTATAAAAAATATACTTAATATCTATTTCACAGATGTCGACTTACATGTTCCAATTGTCATATTTACAATCCAGTCCTCTTTTCCTAAAATGTGACCTACCTGATCACACATATCACCAAATCTGTACTTACATGAGCATCACCCAAGGTGCCACATATGGAGCATGATCTGCTTTATATTTCGGATCACCTGAGATTACTTTCGGTTTTTGATGAGGTTCGTGCTATTCTTTTCTATGTTGTGTTTTGTAGACTGTTGTTTGTCTTTTGGTAATTTTTCGTTTTTGCTTGCCATGGCATTGACAGTTCGTTTTCGACCTACAAGTTTGAATGTCCCTTTGGTATCTCTTGCTTCTCTTTTCTAAGACTCATCATTGACACAATAGTGCAAGAAATAAAAACACATCTACATTTGATATTTTCTAGTGTTTATCGTTATAAGATGCAAAACTCTACGTAGCGAAATGCTGAATTAAATTATCAGTTGTGTGACTTTCAGTAATTAAACAACGAAAAACAAAACGTTTCTCGAAACTAATTTTTTATTGTTATTCCCAGACATTACCGAATCCCGGTCACATAGTGAAATATGATTGCCTTCATCAGCATCAACTGCCAGAGGGCAGTCATAACACATGATTCATCCTACAGGAAGTCTATCGGTTGTTACTGAATTAAACAATACAATGCTCTTTCATTAAACGCGTAACAGCTAGAATTTTTATTATCAAAGAACAGATGCAAACAAAGGTATTGGATATGATAATTCCGCATTGTCACAAAAAGAACAAAATGTTGAGTAAAAGTCAATAGTACAGTATTTAAGCAGTAGTAGTCCAAACTTATAGATATCAATAAAAGATACCATACACTTTTTAAGAATAGATAATCTCAAAATGGCCAATGTGTTCTGAAAAGTTAGATGTCTAAACGGAAAAGACGTAACAAATATATCAATCAGTATATACTATAAAGTTAGATGTCTAAACAGAAAAGACGTAACAAAAATATTAATCAGTGTAATACTGTAAAGTTAGAGGTATAAACGGAAAAGACATAACAAATATATTAATCAGTGTTTACTGAAAAGATAGATGTTTATTTTCGTAAACACCAAAAAGACCTTGATAGTATAATCAACAAAGTATAATTAAGACTTCCTGTTTAAGTACAATTACATTGATTATCAACTGAAAAATTACAGTCAAAAGACTATTATTTAAATCTTGTTTGTTTATTGGCTACTGTATAGATTGTTCCCTTATGGGAACTTAGGGCCAATATTTAGCAAAAAAACTCACCGAATCTCTATCACATAAGGTCAAATGGTTACAAGAGTTTGGATATCTACTGAAAGGACAGTCATAGCATAAAGTCGAACCAAACGGCTTCGTAAAATCTAAAGCATGTGTAATAATGTATTAATTGTCTAAATAAAGACTATAGACTTACCGTTAATTGTTGTATAGCCTTAGGTAGAAAAAACTCATCATACCAGGCTTATAATGTAATACGCCAGACGCGTTTTTCGTCAACATAACTCTTCATAGAAACGGTGACATAAAGTTACTGACTTCTACGTTAGTTGGTCTCTGGTGAGGAGTTGTCTTATTGGCAATTATACAACATCTTCTTATATTTTAGTAATTAAGATTTAATGCCGAGGGGTTTAAATACTATCAATCATGGTCTGACCAATTTCGAGCATATTCACACCTTCTAGTGCCAATTGAGGAGGTATATATCTCATCATAGATACCAGGATTAAATTGTGTATGCCAGACGCGCGTTTCGTCTACAAAAGACTCACGCTCGAATAAAAAAAATAAAACTTATAAAAGGTATGCTATAGCAATTAAAGAGGCGCGTTTATTAGGCTTGCGGGATGTATGAACACTCAAGCACGTGCGGTGAAAGGATGGTTTTCCGTCTTCACACGTTGAAAACCTTTGCAATAACTATTTGTTGTATCCCTATGTGGCCTGTTGCAATGAAAACTAATGTTACTATCCATCATGCTCTTATTTTCTAAAAACATTAACGTTAAGCAGATAACAGCCAGTCGATCGATCAAAGGTACTATGGGGAAAAAAGCGTCAATGAATTAAGATAAAGTATAACAAAAATCTGGTTCTCCAAGGGAAAATGATCAAAAAGGGAAACTCTATAAAAACTGAGAAAATCAATTGCTATCAACCAACGGAAAGAGTGAAAAACAACTGTCATATTTCTGCATTTGTACTGACATTTTCCGAAGAGCATGGTGGAATAAACCTGGTTTTATACCTAGCTAAACCTGCCATTTGTATGACAGACGTTTATTGTTTTGTTATATTCACAGAATTGGGTGAACAATCAAAACAAACATTAAAGGTTAATGTGACAATAATTGGAATTACTGTGCAAACATGCATTAAATAAAAAAAAAACACAACAGACTTAAAATAATTATTAACAATCATACAGTTATTCCTATACACATTAAATGATTAACTAATTGTGTGTTGGTTGCTTTACGCCCAGTGACAACTATTTCGTACATATTGAAGACAACAATCTTACAAATTATACAAAAGGTAGGTTTTGAAAATTGAGTCACAGAAAAGATAAGGTATGTTATATAGAGACGGTAATTTCGCTTTGCAACAGACCACAAACTTACCCCTCAAAGAGTTGTTACAAGGATTTCTTGTGTACATTGTGCGTGGCACTTTCTTACACGAGACATCCAACTTGACGCCCCATTCCGCATGGCAGTGGTTGCGAGTTTCTACATCCCGCATAGCCAAATAGACGCGTCTGTTGAGCATGGTTGTTACTGCCGGATGGATACGTTCTATGAAGAACATATTTTTATTAACAAGTCAGCCATTCGGGTTTGAATCATACAGATAATCAACAATAAGAAACGAAAAAAATTGAGGATGAATTAAGCTCTACCTTATCCTTCTCCTGTAAGTATTAGATATTTATCTAACCTGCATATGCATTTTTTCATTATTACAGAATGTCCACATTTGTATATTATTTTTGGATTCGATAACAATTAAATATTTTAGAAGAATAGCATACTTGCAGAACCACAATGTCCTTCCAAATTACAGATATTCCTGTCATTACAGCATTCATGACATATTGTCCTATCAATGCGTTTCCTGGCACTCCGTTTGCCGACTACTGGTAAAAGTGGACCTGATGAGCTGCAAAACTTAGATATTAAAAATAATGAATAAAAAAAGATAGAAATCTAACGACATGAAAAGTCAAAACACTTCATCGGGTAAAGCATTTTTTAAATGCTTTTAATGCTACCAGTATTCTTAATGTAGTTATTTCTATTTGTAGTTTGCTTGTACCAGCTGTGTTTCTGAATTTTTGTTTTGATGTAATTTATTTACTTGCTTCTTCTGAACTGATTGTTATTTTACATTGTTCTATAAACCCTTTTTATTACACTGAAAGAAATGAAAAAAAATTTTTGGGCTAGCAAAGCCGCCAAAGTATGTATTTAGGTCAAAAGTGTTAAGTGCATATCTTGTTGTCGCCGATGAAACTATTGATACAATTTCTAGATTCAGGGCAATTCAGAGCTTGACAACAGTTGCCTTTTGATGAAGACCATATATTGACCTCTTAAATGTGTTTTGTTTCGTTGTATTTCTGTTTAAATGACTTACACTGCATGTTAACCTTCTTGATAAATCATTTACGACATAAAATAAATCATCCTATAATGAAACACGGTTACCTATAATTAAGGGAATCACCATTTCATTATGATATATAACAAAAGGGAAAGATGACACCTAAGGGAACAATAGAAAATATAAATGAAAGAAAAACAGTCCCTGAAATCTATCTTATAAACATACATCCAAGCTGACATTGGTGAACGGTTACTTACATTGAGTGATTTGCAGCCAACATTGTATAAATGCCATGATTTTAGTCCGTTACTGGTTTCACATCTCTCTATATAACAGACCTGAAACGGTTACAGACTAAAAGTTGGAAGCTATAGATTGTTATACGTACATGTAAGTTTCAATATCTTAATCGTCAAACGTTGTCATAGTAGCCCTAGGTTTTTACCCAAACTTTTATCACAGACATGTTAATGATGTGTAACATACTCATTTAAGTACTGAAAATCATGTTAAATCAACTTACAAGCCAAATTGTTTAATGATTTTTATCACCCTTTTCTCTGTAAAAGTGTTTCATAACAGCAAATTATTAGTTGTCAATTTTTTATAAATAGTTTGCATATGAAATTGTAAAAGTTGAGTCATTTTTTGTACAAAAGTTCATACAGGTAATAACTATATAGACGATTATTGTACTGTAATGACATTGAATTTCTGTGCAATAAAAATTATAACTACCGATGTGAAATTATTTGTGGTTGATAAAAATTCATTCACTCACCTTTGAAAAAAGTGCCCAGGTTTCCAATATATACTGAGTAAGTTTAGATTAGCAACATATATTTTAATAATAAAACTAAAAAAATTCCAAAATTGCAAAAATACATTTTAAATATTTTTTTTGC